AAGAGACTGTGGTTTAGTCATAGACAAATGCAGGAATAGACACCAAAATGCTCTCACCAACGCTCTCTCAAATTGAGCTACCTAACAGGTATTTTCCTTTTTAAGCCGAATTTATAAACTCTTTAAGGTGAAAGACTATAAATATAGTTAGATTTTTGCAAAATCTATATAATATTACATAAAATCTTTCTACTTTTGCTACAAATTGGGTTTGAGTTTTTTGGTTTGAGTCACTTCACTAGCACTTTCTTGAGTACTTTGGTGTCTATACATTCATTTGTCTATGGTTTAGTTCCGCACTCCGACAAAGATAAAGTCGTCGACGATGCAATGTAATACCGTTCTTGTAGTCTAGCAATTGAGTCAAACCAGAACAGTTCCTGGTATACACGCATTACATCTCACCGACACTGACCGGGGATTTGTCGATCTCGGCACGAACTAAAAGAATCGGGGATGTGTTGCTCCCAAAACAGAAAAACAATACAAAAACAAATATAACTGGGTCGGCCGCCGCTGACCGAGTAATTCTACAGCCTGGTAGATAGCATAGGTGTAATTCATGCTGACACTGTGAAACCTGTCCTTAAAGTTAACTCATTCTGGAAATATTTTTCTTCCATTTTGTCTTCTTTTCAGGTTTCGAGAACTATGTGTCAAATTGAGTTGAAAAATATGTACCATTTATTAATTTAGTCGTACTCCTAGCAAATATTGCCATAACATAGATAATTCAAGTTCATGTTGAGGTAACAGTAATCCTCTACAATAAAGCACATTAGAAACTCTCGTTTGCTAGAGTACTACATCGCTTCGTGCTAGAATGGATATTTTCACACATAAAAATATAACAGCCATAACATATTGGTTGGATTTTTCAAAACTTTACAAAACATACTGATTATATTACAATTTACTTCTTCAAATGTTTCAAGTTTCTAATGCCTGACTTTTCCATACCAGCTTTAACTATACTTACTCAAACTTTGGACACACTATCAACACCCCACACTGTGGTGTAAACTATTATTAAAATGCCATTAACTAGGACATTCAATGGGAAATAAAACTTGACGTAATTAATCCAATTAACTTAAATTCTACCGCTATGACCTAATCTAATTCCAAAACAAAATAAACGTGCTGTAATAAAATGTGTAACTTACATAGCTGAAAATGTTGTGGCAACCATTAAATTTACGTGGTATTTGGTAGTTGGGATATGTGAAGTCTTTAAAACAATATTGCCACAAGCCCATATTCTTAAAGCTGCTAAGTGTCTCCTCGTACGATTCAATCCAATAGGGTGAACAGAACGACATCATCATAAAGAAATAACCAACAAAGGTTATTATGGCTCCAAAGACCACACCATCTGAAATAGAGAAAGAAGATAAAAACACATTTAGTAATTAAAAACGACAAAATATATAAAACCACTTGTTGGAAGAGGGGAATGGTGGTTCACTTTTTTGGATCAAAAACCAAGAATGTTCCCATTTTCCAATTGCCTTAAAGATGTCTTCTAAATAGAGTGTCACTCCCTAAATTGTTTTGTTTTCATTTGCTGTCGGCGCCGCAGCCACAAACAAAAATTTAATGGGGACTGGCTTAACTCTTGACTCACTTGTGGCACGAGGATAATCATTCTTTTCCACTCCACTATCAGTGGCATCTGTCGATTGTTGTTTACGAAAATTATGCATTTTCTATCGTCGTTTATTTTTTTATTTATTTAAATAAATAATCACTAATTTTTATTGGAAAAACATGAATAAAAAGTGTATAGTTTTGGAATGTTTCGTTGCGCTCAAAAGAAATTTAAGACTCAGCAGCGTCGTGAAATGTCAAAAGAATGAAGAAGAAAAACAACACCCTAAATACAGTGTTGTTGTATGAGAGTACTTTTTTCGTTTTGTGTTTTGCTACTAAAAATGCAACACTGTTGATGTGGTGAGTCAGTGTATGATATTCAAACTGTAAACTATTCAGTTTATAATTAAGCTTGATTTGGATTTTAAAATTAAATAAAATATAATAAATAAATATAAGAGAGTGGATTTTTTAAAACTATTGTTTTTAATTACTATCAATAAGAGGGAATTGTGTAAAAATATGTTTCAGTGACTATTAATAAACGTGAATTTTAAGAAATATATTTTTATTGTGCGTAGATTTTTAAAAGTATTTTTTTATACCCTCCACCATAGTATAGAGGGTATATTAATTTTGCCATTCCGTTTGTAACTCATCGACATATTCATTTCCGACCCTATAAAGAATATATATTCTTGATCAGGGTAAAATTCTAAGACGATCTAGCCATGTCCGTCCGTCCGTCTGTTCTAATCACGCTATCTTCTGAAGGAATTGAGATAGGGTGCTGAAATTTTGCTTAGGGTTGTCTTTTGTCTGCAGGCATGTCAAGTTCGAAGATGGGATACATCGGTCCACGTTTAGGCATAGCTCACATATAGGGGTACCCGGCAAATTTCGGTATTTTGGGGTTCTTGAGCGCGTTTTTCAGCCGAATTCGCTGAAATTTCGTACATTTGGTTCTTATTGGGTACTAAATGTCTCCACAAAAAATTATAAGTATAGGTCCACTTTTTTTGGTAGCCCCCATATAACGGTACCTCTTATTATTCAGTATTTTGAGGGTTTTGGTCGTATTTTTTCACCGAATTGGCTGTAATTTATTATTTTGAGTTCTTAATAGGTACCAAATCTCTCTACAAAAAATTATGTATATTGGTCCATTTTTTGGGTAACCCCCATATAAGGGTACCCCCCCATTTTCGGTATTTTGGGGTTCTTGAGCGCGTTTTTCAGCCGAATTCCCTGAAATTTGCTACATTGGGTTCTTATTGGGTCCTAAATGTCTCCACAAGAAACTATAAATATAGGTCCACTTTTTCTGGTAGCCCCCCATATAACGGTACCTCCCAATTTTCAATATTTTGGGGGTTTTGATCGCATTTTTCCGCCAAATTAGCTGTAATTTAGTATTTTGAGTTCTTAATAGGTACCAAATCTCTCCACTAAAAACTATGAATATAGGCCCATTTTTTCGGAAAGCCCCCATATAAGGGTACCCCCAATTTTCGGTATTTTGGGGTTCTTGAGCGCGTTTTTCAACCGAATTTGCTGCAATTTGGTATTTTGTAGTCGTATATGGTAACAAATCTCTCTACCAAAAATTATTAATATTCGCCCCCTTTTTTAAAATAGTTATCTAATTTCTTCCGTGTTTTGAGTTTGGTTCTAAGACTCTATTGCAATGATTTCACCTGCCGAGGATAGCGAGATAAAAAATTAGAACGTAAGGTTCGATAATTAACTATAGCCGGATTTAGACCTAGCCCCTGTATGGAGGTTTCAGAAGGAGTGGACCGATATTCCCCATCTTCGAATTTGAATTATCAATTAAAAATTTCTGAAATTTGTATTATGGTTTAAATAATCCGTTTTTAGACTTGTCGGTAAAGGTCCACTTTTTGGTATGTTCCCTATATTTTCATTTCTAGTACCTGTCAGTATATCTATGGTGGAGGGTATCCAAAGTTCGGCCTTTGTAAAGACTTCTATTCGACCCCATAAACTTTGTACATTAATCGCTACTTCTAGAATATTTGATGCTGAAACTACCGGAAACTAGAGAAAAAAACTCAAGGAATATCACTAAAGATTTTTTTAATATTTTTTCGAAGACCCCATAAACATGGCACATTCATCGCTACTACTTCTAGATGGTTTGATACTGAAAATACCGGTCCAGGCGTAGATTTTTTAAAATAGTTTGAAGGACTACCATTAAGTTTTTTAAATATATTTGTAAAGACTTCTTTTCAACGAGAACCCATAAAATGTGCATTCATTCACATTCATTGCTGCTACTTCTAGAGTGATTAGTATTGCAAATACCGGTTCAGGTTTTGGTATGGCCCTCATATATCAGGTATTTAGAAGATTTTAGAACATTTGTCAATAAACGGACCATTTGCTTGAAAATAAAATCGATATAGATTCAGCCCCCATTTCCAATCGATGGGGTTGAAATTGGCGATTCCCCTTTTATCATTTTTAAAGAAATGTTTATAGTTTCTTGCACACCACATTCGACCCAGTAGAACTCAGTCTGAGTCCCCATATAATAACAACGACCATCTGATCTATAAGCTGGGAGTTTTTTTAATATTTCTTTCTCGGAAGTAATTACATATTACTATCCACAAATGATAATGATATTCAAATTACCTGTCGTTTTGAATGAAACTACATTGACCCAATTTCCTACTATTATTATTTCACTCAATAATTTGTATGTATGCCAGCTCAGTAGTTTATTTTTGAGTATCAGCGAACAACAATATGTATGCGGGTCAGAAAATAAGGTCACAGTAACATGAGATAATTCAGACGATTTAGAATTATGGTTGGGTAAGGCCGATATGGTCCCAAGGGGTTTTGTAAGATAAATCTAAGCTCAGAACCAAGGTTCAATAAACATGTCGTGTAAGAAACGAATATTATCGGCAATTTTGGTTTAAAATCACGTACTGTCAATTTTTGGTCTATGTTTTCATACGATTAAGTCAAAATTGACGATAATGTCATAATTGAAATCATGTTCACAGCTTGGGTGAAATCATCTGCTCATGCTCAGAACTTTTTGTTATGGCAATGATTAGAGAATGTGTAAGTTATTAGTACTAGAAAGAAATAATTTTAATACGTTTATTTTTTATATTTTAACAGTGACTGAGTTAAGTAATATATCGTGTATATATTTTAACTTACATCTAAAGTTGTGATCCTATTTATTCATCAACATTTTATATTATTTTCATTTTTGTTATCGTACTCTTTTATTAACAAATAATCTTAAAAATAAACAAATAAATAATTTACTATATATTTAGTCTAATAACTAAGAGGTTACACCACATACAACACAACAAAATAAATATATACCTAAATAAATAATACAACAATTATATCTACTTTTCTTTTTTCTTGGCCAATATAAATTTCTCTTCATCATCGATTTCATGATGTTCCAAATGCTTCATATAGGCCAAAAAGCATGTCCATATTAAACTACAAACACTGATGAATGGTACACGATTTTTCTCTGGTATCACAGAGAAATTTATGGTGGCCACAATGGGCCATACCGAGGCAGCGACCTAATACATTAGGAATAATTATTTTTTATATTAAAAATTTTGAAAATCATTTTCACATACCTTATAAGTGGGTAAAAATTTCTTACTAACTTCGGCCGATGCTTCACCCAACGTTTTCATTTCCAATAAACTCATAATGAAATAAAAACATGTCATGGCAGCCGGTGTATAGGATACTGTTTCGACGGCTGCTTTCATAACTGCCGTTCGGAGAGATGTCTTGGGCCACATTGCTGATGATATCTGTAGAAAAATAAATGTATTTATTATTAAATCTTATATATTGATTTAATAATTAAATTGATATTTAATAATTGAACATACCTTAATCCATCCATATAATGTTGGGGCCACAAAAAGTCCACCATACAAACTGAAACGTAAACAACGCCACCAATCAAAATGTCCTATAAAATAAATAAGCAAGAAGGAAATTTCATATTATTCCCAAATGACAGGTGTACCTTTGATAGTCTGGTCTAAGATATCGAACGACATGTGATTGGTGAAGATTTTTTTAAATAATGAAACCATATAGTATATAAATATCAGTCTGCATTCCAAATTCCTTAAATCGGTCGGGAATTTTATATGAGAACTATGTTATTGCATTAGTAGATTGTTCAGATTCACTCTAATTCTTCTACATCAGTCTTACTTGCGCCCATCATCCGACGGAAGACAGAGATGAACAGACCATATTTTACGAGCGCCTAGAAACAGCATATTTTTATGACATAAAAATTCTTATAGGATTCTTATAGCAGTCAAGGATCGAACTCGTGTTAATGTATCAGCAAAGGTGCGATCTAATATAGCATGGATACTCGACGTCGAAAAACTGCAAGCCCAACAGATAGCAGAAGCCTACTTTGCTCAACATACCTATCTGCTTAAGGAAAGCACTCCTTGTCCCGGTAATAATATAGAAGCACAATGTCAAAGAATTGTTCACTCCCTACAAACTGCAGCAAAATCAACAATTGAATACCAAAGACGACCATCAAGAAACCCGTGGTACGATTAGGAGTGACGTAATGCTACTGATTTGAAAATCGCAGTAGCAACACGTAATGCAAGAGAGAATTATCGGGAGAAATGGAGAGAGGAGAAACGTACCTTCCAAAGAAAGAATAAAGAACAAGAAAAACGTGAGCGTGGGCAAATCGAGATGTACAGGTGTCAGAATAAGTAAAACACCAAACCGAAGGCTTTGTTGCAGGGACATCCTTCTGTAGAGATGAAGACGAAAACCTGGTGACATATACAGACAGCGTGTTGAGGGTCTGGAAGGAACACCTAGCCAAGATGAGGTCAGAATAGCAATTAATCGGCTGAAGAATAATAAAGCCGCAGGTGCCGATGGACCAGATGCTAGTCAGGAGTATGCACCAGCTGATTAGTACAATTTGCCTAGAGAAATGCATGCCCAATGATTGGAACCTCAGCATCCTGTGTCAGGTGCACATTAAAGGAGGCAAGACGATATGTGCCAACTATAGAGGAATTAGTCTCTTGCCCATCGCATATAAAATACTATCCAGAGTGCTGTGTGAACGACTGAAGTTAATAGTCAATGATATTATTTGATCTTTTCAATGCGGCTTCAGACCTGCCAAATCCACTATAGACAAGATTTTCACATTACGTCAAATCCTGGAACAGACCCACGAAAAATACATCTACACATTTCATCTTTTCGTCGACTATAAAGCCGCATTCAACAGCCCAATCCGCTCGGAGGTGTTTAAAGCCATGTCTGCGTTTGGCATTCCTGCAAAATTAATACGGCTATGCAGGATACCTTTAAGTGGCACAAGGTCAGCAGTTGTAGTCGGAAAGGACCTATCGGAGCCCTTTAATATCGAACGAGGATTCAGACAAAGTGACAGTTTGTCGTGTGATCTTTCACATGCTGGAAAAAGGTCATACGAGGCCTACGCCGATGATCGATACGTCCTTTGAACAAATTGAGAAGGAGTCTGCTAAAGTGGAACTCACAGTAAATTATGAGAAGACCAAGTTGATGGTATCGACGCGCAAGACGTCCAATAGACCCGGGCCAACTGTGGAACTTGAGAACTATAGCTTCGAGGTAGTTAAAGATTTTATATACCTTGGTACCGCCATAAATAAAACGAATGACATCAGTTTTGAAAATCGGAGAAGGATAGTGATGGCCAACAGATGAAGTCAGCAGTTTAGGAAAAAGGCCACTTCCGCCAGACCAAACTCACACTTTACAAGACGCTGATACTACCCGTGCTGTTATATGGATATGAAGCATGGGTACTTGCGCAAGCAGATGGGTTGTTTGAGAAAAAATCTCCGAAAGATCTACGGGCCAATCCGTGTCGACGGTGAATATCGGCGTCGAAGGAACCATGAGTTGTACCAGGTATTCTCGGACATCGGCATTGTTAGACGTATTGAGCTGCAACGACTACGTTGGCTAAGTTATGTTGTGAGAATGGATGAAGATGCTCCAGCCCAAAAGGCATATAAAAGCGAACCAGCTGATGGTTCACGCAGAAGGGGAAGGCCACGAATAAGATGGAAAGATCAAGTTGAAGACAACATTGCCGAATATGGTCTTTCAAATTGGAAAAACTACGCAAAAGACCGACGCGCCTGGAAATCTTTTTAAGCTCGGCTTATGGAACGTAAGTTCTATTAGAAGCAAGTAAGTAAGCCCTCTATTCCCGCAAGAACTCTATAGGTAAGAGTTGGGGACTAAACCGAGAGATCATACACTGGCTGTATGTGACTGTATGTGAGGGTCAACAAGTAGATACTGCTGGCTAAAATGAGTACCGTGCAGCGATCGCCGTCGATCTTGATAACCGGAGTGCTAAGAAACCTTGAATGCAATCTTGAATCTCCAAACACTGGATTCTCTGGTTAAATTCCATGCTGCTAGATGTGCTCTGAGGCTCCGGGAAATGGAAGTCGCTGAATTTTGGTCACGCAGTATTCTAAACACAACGACAATTTGTGAACTTCTAGAGAGGAGTGCTCACATCAGTGACTAACAACATCAGAGTAGAGCTTCCTAGTAGGGAATCCTGGACTAGTGGCTCCTTACCTCTTACCGGTCTGTCGATATTTACAGACAGGTCGAAGATGAAGGCACTGGTGCAGGGGTTTACTGCATGGAACTAGCAATCTATAATTCATATAAACATAACAATCTTTGCAGAGTTTTTCAAACAGAAATCCTAGCAATCACGAAAGCGGCTGAGATAGTCATAACACTTATTGTCGATAATATAGGGCCGATGACTATATATGTCGATAGTCAGGCGGCCCTTAAGGCCTTAAAGTCGTGCACTATTAACTAAAAAGCGGTTCGTGACAAGGTTACTTTTCGTGATATGTGACGGATTTTTAAATTATGTTGAATTCCATGACATAGCAAAATAGAAATGTTTGTTCGAGTGGGTTCACAGTCTTCCGATTGAGAGATTTGTACAACCGCCCATTGGCTATTATATTGGCAGAATCCGTTTGAACTACTGCGAGGTAGTCGGCAGCAGATGGCCATCCGAACCTGCATGCAGGATTTTGAAAACATTCTGGCCGGAATTCTCTTGCCGTAGAACTTCTTCGCTGTTGACACATAATAAGAGAGAGATTAACATCATTGTGGGGATTATAACAGGTCACTGCAAGATTATATCTCTCACTTATAAATGGGACATCAATGGAGTGAATTACTGCCGTCTATGTGAGGACGAGGACACAGACAGTTCTGTCTTCGCTGAGTGGCAGCAGAGACAGACAGCTCGTCAAATATGAATTGGATAATCTAGCATTATTCTCCGGAATAGAACCCAAGCAGATCCTAAGCTTTGTTCAGATTTTGACATGTCTAAAATAACCACCTTCCTATACTCTTCAAACTTCCACTATCCTTCCTCTCTTCTCCTTTTCTTTTCAGGTACCAAGGATGAACATAATGAACAAATGTACCCGAGTGCACGATTGCAATCAGCAGCTTAACCTAACCCAACATTTTTGGAAGTGTCCCAATTGAGGAGGAAAAAGAGCTTCGAATGGAGTGACCAGACAATAATAATTATAATCTTTTCAGTACATTTCATGTATTTTGCAACAAATTTTCAAAAAATCAGTTTAAAAAGAAAAATGTATCCGTCAATTGATTAGTTAGTATAAAGTTTAATTTTCTTTTCCATACTTACCAAATTCTTTATTCTCAAATGTTTGCTGAATTAAACTGCTGGTGGGCCATATCAAACTGTAGGAGACCATACCCCGTGTTACCGGATATTTCGTAAGTATTGCTTTGAATTTTAGCAAAAACGTAGACATGGTTATGTGTAACGATGTGCGATGCGGTTCGTAAAAAAAGTGAAAATACTGAAATAGGAAAATTTTTTATTAAATACCCACATATAATGAGCATCAAAGGGTAGTAGACGAGCGAATTACCTTTGTTTTTTGCAAAACTTTTTACAAACATTGACCTTGATTTGCAGATATTGGCGGGGATATTTTTCACTGTTAGTTAATCATACAAAAAATGTTTGTGGAAAAGTAAAAACACACAGACATAACTAAAAACGAAACTGAAATTTCACATAAACTGTTTCTTTATCGGTTTTCCGTTAGCGAACGAACACCCACACACACCAAGTGTTAATGAAAACAGCATGGTGTAATGAAAATCAAGAGGCCAAATCCACTTTAATATTTAAATGCAAGAGTTTGAAACGAATAGTACATCAAACGTTAGGTGGAATCGGAAGTCGAAACATGCAGCTGAAGAATTTGGATTATTTGCTGATTTTTGGTGTATTCAGCGCATTATTTAGCTGTAGCCTGGCATTTCATACGAAAATTGTTAATGGCAGTGTGGCTTTGCCTGGAGAATATCCATATATGGTAAGTTTGTAAATTATTTTCCTTTAAAATTATCTTCAAAATAATCCGCAAATAAAAAAGGTATCTCTGAGACGTGCCTCTTCGGGACGCCATGCATGTGGTGCCTCTTTGTTAAATCGTGTTTGGGTATTAACGGCTGCCCATTGTGTGGTGAAGCAGGAACCTCACCAAGTTAACATACAATATGGCAGCAATGAATTAAATCGTAACTCCACGAACATTGCCAATGTTACGAAGATTTTCGTTCACGAAGGTTATGATCCTTCGAATCAATATATTCATGACATAGCCTTGATGCGTTTGGATAAACCGATTAATGTGGAAAATGATTTTCTGGGCATTCGTTTGCCTGATTTTAATTCGCAAACTGATGCTGAAACTCCAGCCACGCTGGTTGGTTGGGGTCTCAATGCGGTAAGTCCTAATGACATCAAAGGACCCGGCAAATTTTCTTAAAAAAATTCCCTCTTTCCTTACAGACTGGTGGTGTGGTTCAGCAACATCTCCAGAAAGTAGATTTGGAAATTTTCAGTGATGCCGAATGTAGCCGTCGACATGGCATCGATATCCATCCGACAAATATTTGTGCTGGTGTACCGGAGGGTGGCAAAGGCCAGTGCAGTGGTGATTCTGGTGGTCCTTTGATTGTTAAAAATACCCAAGTTGGTATTGTGTCGTGGTCACGTAAACCCTGCACAGCCTATCCATATCCGGGTGTTTTCACTGAGGTATCTGCATATGTTGCTTGGATTTTGGAAACCATATTGGATGCTGAAGATGAGGAAGATTTCGGTGACAGTCAAGAGGGTTTGAGCGGTATTGATGGTATATTAAGTGGAAATTTAATTGTTATTGGCTCGAAGCGTTTGGCTTTCTTGAAGAAAATATTGAAATAAATGTGGTTAATCGAAATATTCAAAATGAATTAAAAATCAAAGTGAACTTTTCTTTTTTTAGAATTGAATAAAGTAGTTTTTTGCGGCAAGTCTATGTTTGTAGGAGCGAGGGGCAAGGGGAATAAAATTAACAAAAATTGCTCGTACCGCTAATTGTCTGGCAAATCGATTTGTGTATTTCGTATTGTAGTGTCCAAAACTTGAAACTTACTTAGCTCGCTTGTTACAGAACGGTTGTTCCATAAGCATCTCCTCCAATTTAAAAGAACATGTTACGAGACGTTGACTTCTACTTGGTCTTTCCATCTAATTCGTGGCCTTCCCCTTCTGAGTGAACTATCAGTAGGCCCTCTTTTATATGCCTTTTGAGCTGGGGCATACTCATTTATTCGCACAACATGGCCTAGCCACCGTATTCGCTGCAGCACGATGTCCGCGTATAGATTGTAAATCTCCTGGTTCATTCGACCCCGATATTCACCGTCGACGCAGATCGTCCGTAGATCCTTCGGAGATTTTTTTCTCCCAAACACCCCAAGAGCTGCCTCATCTGCTTGCGCAAGTTCCCATGCTTCAGATCCATATAACAGCACGGGTAGTATCTGCGTCTTGTAAAGTGTGAGTTTATAAAGTTTGAGTTCTGTTGACCAACACCATCCTTCTCCGAATTTCAAAACTGATGTCATTAGTTTTATTTATGGCGGTACCAATTTGGATTTGGCGCAGAGTGAAAATCTGGTCAATGGTAGATTTGCCAGATCTGAAGCCGCATTGGTATGGTCCAATAATGTCATTGACCATTGGCTTCAGTCATTCACACAGCACGCTGGATAGTACTTTGAATGCGATGGGAAGAAGACTAGTTCATCTACAGTTGACACATATCGTCTTGCCTCGCTTTTTGTGTACGGGACACAGGATCCTGAGTTTCCAATCACTGGGCATGCATTCCTATAGCCAAATTGTACTAATAAGCTGGTTCATGCTCCTTACCATCAACTGACCACTAGTTTTGCTGCTTTATTACTCTTCAGCCGATTGATTGTTATTCTGATCTAATCTTTGCTAGGTCGTATACATTGTATACCGTCATCTTATATTGGTTCTGGGGTATCCTCTTCACCGCCACTATTTGATACCAGAAACTTTTCAAAATGCTCCTTCCAGATCCTCAACACGCTGTCTGTACATGTCACCAGATTTTCATCTCTACAGGAGGATGCCCTCGGTTTGGTGTTTTATTCGTTGAAAAAATTTCCTAACTTCATTCTGACTCCTGTACATCTAGATTTTTCTTGTTCTTTTTTCTTTTTTGTGTAGCATTACGTGTTGCTACTGTCTGCAGGGTTGCCATATACGCTGCGTTTTTTTGACCTCAGTAGCATTACGACACTCCTGATCGTATCATGAGTTTCTTGATGGTGGTTTTTGGTACCCAAGTGTTGCTTTTGTTGCAGTTGGTAGGAAGGGAACAATTCGTTGCTATTGTGCTTCTATACTATTATCGGGACAAGAAGAGCTTTCGTCAAGCAGGTGGGTAAGTTGCAGCTTTTCGACGTCGAGTTTCCGTGTTGTGTTAGATCGCACCTTTGCTGCTACATTAAGACGAGTGCGAACCTTGGCTGCTACAAGGTAGTGGTCCGAATCGATATTCACGAGGAGCGAATATCAATTCGATCGAACGTCTAATACACTGGATGAATGCCTTCCATCTATCACAACATGATCAAATTGATTTCTCGTTGCTTGATAAGGAGATATCAAGGTGGCCTTTTGTATTTGGTTTTCTTTTTCGTTGCTTTTTACCAATTGTAAATAAATCGATGGTCATTTTTCGATATCCCAATTTTATATCCATTCGAAATTCATCCAAACCCATATTCAATTAATCCGAACCAAAAAACGTGAATGTCTCTAAGAATAGAGAAAGTTAGAACTTTGTATAGATGCGTATTTTGTTTATTTTGTATTTTGTTATAAATAGTGTGGCTGAGTCAGATCTAAAGGGGACCACCAATTCCCCTTTAGTCAGATCTAAAGGGGACCACCAATACGAATGGCGGACACGATAACTCAAAAACTAATAATATAAAACGTTTAAAATTTTAACACGTTATTCTGTACATACATAGCTAGGATAAATGTAATCGGTCAAGATCTTCCATATTTGCTAACTTGGTTTATGGTGGGTCATTTAACTCGCACTTAACCCCAAGCGAAAGTTTGAATTTTTACTGCAAATAAATGTCCGTATCTTTAATTTTCTTGGTATGACAAGTTCCGCCCGGTCGGAACATAATGTTTTTTTGTTAAATATATAACATTTTCAATATTTATACCCTACACAACTATGTTGTCAGGGTATTATAGCTTTGTGCAGCCCCAAATGTTTGTAACGCCGCGAAATATTGGTCTTAGACCCACCTTTAAGTATACCGATCGTCATATCTCGACTAGCTGAGTCGATCTAGACATGTGTGTCCGTCCGTCCGTCCGTCTGTCCATTATAATTTGTAAACACGATACAGGCCACAGTTATGGACCAATCTTCACGAAATTTTGCATGTAGGATGGGTTCTGGCCAATGAAGACCCCTATTGTTTTTGGAAAAGATCGGTTAATATTTAGGGGATGAAATGGACCAAATACTAAATTTTTGTCGGTTTTTCTGGTCGCTCCAGAGGCCGCAATTATGGCCCAAACACCGCGAATTTTTGCATGGAGAAGGGAATCGGGTCAGAGAATAAGCATGCATGTTTTGATAAAGATCGGTCAATATTTAGCGGGTCAAATGGACCCTGACTTTTGTGTGAAAAATGACAAGATTTGTATTCTATGGCATACATATTTACTCCTGGAGGATGTAGACCCCAGGAGTTCATAGCATATCCAAGAGGAGTGGTTGGCCTTTAAATTGATACCAAATATAGTGATGTATCTACTCAGATGTGGGAGTTACAGTCAAATATTTACAGGTGCTTACGTATTCAGATATTATTCAGTAACCCATTACCACATTAGAGGGAGAAATATCGCGCTGATGGCTTTGACATTTTTCATGAAGTTCCAGTTATGGTCAAGAACAACGCCTACAATTTTCGGTGATGATCAGATTAAAATTTTGGGATGAAATGGACCGAAAACATAATTTTTTGTGTGTTTTCGAGTAGAGTATAATCCGAAAATCACAACACAACCCACCGTGAAGGTAATCTGGACAAGTAATTAGAAGGACTGTACTGAATATTCGAAAAAAGTAAGGAAGAGGTGTTGTTAACCTCTAATCGGACAAGAGGGGGCAAATATCACGAAATATTACTCAGACTCGGAATAAACATCCTCAGAAAGTTAGAGTTCGTGGTAGTTGTGTAGGGTATCGCATGGTCGGCCCCGTCCGACTATTCTGCTCCGCTCACTGGTTTTTAATTTGTCTTTATATAATCTATTCCCGAATTTATCATTTTAGGTTTCATTGCGGCGCGCCAAAGACAAACAACATTTTTGTGCGGGAACAATATTGAATTCACAATGGATTTTGACAGCAGCTCATTGTTTTACATTTATCTGGTCTCCCAAGGATATTGTAATACAATATGGAAGTAATGAACTGAAACCGCTTATTCCACTATATAAAGATGTAGAAGAGATTATCAAACATGAAGGCTATAATCCGACTGTGGCAATACATGATATTGCCCTTTTGAAATTGGCAAATCCTTTACCACTTTTCCCTAGCATAGGACATGTCCAACTAATGGAAGATTCCATGACATCATATGAAAATAAAGAAGTAACACTGATTGGATGGGGTCTTAATGAGGTGAGGGAGGTTACAGAAATTTAAAATCTAAAAATGTTGTTTATAATTTTTCCTATTTCTTTCAGACCATGGGCACCCTTACCTCCAGACTACATAAGGTCTCATTGAAAACCATAACCTTGACCGAATGTCGTTTATCATTATTATCTGTTATACATAGAACAAACCTATGTGCCGGAGGTTCTGGTAAGGGACAATGTTCTGGAGACTCTGGTGGTCCCTTATTACTAAACAACAAACAAATTGGTTTGGTGTCATGGAGTATCAAACCTTGTGGACAAAAGCCGGGAGTTTTTACAAATATATCGTATTACATAGACTGGATCAAAGAACATATTAAATAAAAAATAAATAAATAAATATAAATATACACAAATTATGTTCAAAATTAATACATGTTTACAAATATTTCATATTACTTAGAGCGTCTTTTTATTATTAATTAAAAACAACAATTTTTTATATGAACGCCTTTAAATATTTAATAATAAAAAATCATTTGTTTCTGTTTTACAAACAAATAAATGCATTTTATTCATTTTTTTACACATTTAACATCATAACACCCTAAAATTATAATAACACTTAAAAATTAAAAAAAAAAATGCACTAAAATTATTCTAATGTTCAGTAGACGTATTTATAAGGTCAAAGCCTTCCCCCGTTGTACATCGTCATCGTAGTGTTTTTGTTGTTGTTCTTTCTCCTCATGAATTTCCATTGTCTTCATGTAGGCCAAGAAGGTGGTCCACATTAAACTACAAATACTTACAAACACTACACGATGTCTTTCGGGTACCATGGAAAAGTTGATGGTCTGTAATATGGGCCATATGCAAATGCCAACCTGTAATAAATGGAAAATAGGTTAGTTGTGATTAAATTCAAAGGGAAAATTTTACATGGTGCAATGAAAGCCGAAAATTAGTTGGTGACCACTTTTTTTTATAAGGCAAGATAGGTTCACGCCCTGGGAGGCCGACAAAAATTTATCGCCATTGTAAGGAAATACAGTGAACTCTCGATAATATGAATACTCCAACTGACATTAAAATATTGAAAAAATTAGGGAATTATCGCTAATAAATTCGAAAATATGAACTGACTCGACATTACTTAGTTCACATTATCGAGAGTTCACCGTATAGGATTTTCACATTTACGAAAGTTCACTTAATAATTATTTGGAATTTCTTGTATAATAATACGGCAGTTAAAAAAATCATAAGGAATGAGGGCCAAAAAATGCGTTAATCCCAGTATTCGAGGTCTGAGTTTTGAATATGTTAAACATCCTCAACCACGATCCAGATTACTTCAAAAAAGGTCACAACTGACATTGAAACCAAAGCCAAATCAATGCAATGGAAAAGTTAAAAATATCCAAAACCAAAAAAAAAAAAAAAATACTACCTTTCAGAAGTGCTTCGAGTATAGGAAAAATCCCTGACATTGGGATTAATGTTATTGATGAATAATTAGAATGTTCATTGATTGATCAGAACAAAAAGGAGCAGACCTCGTATATGAAAAGTTACAATTCTTCAAAATAATTTATGTTCAAATACCAGCAGTTTTGAACGAGTAAAAATTCGTGACTTTTTTTACCATTCGCTTAATTGCATGAAATCTAACACATCTTGAGAGAGTGGTTTAAGTTTTGATAACCACTTGGATTAAAAATATAAAAAAAATAGTTAGAAAGTATCAGTCGTATATAGTATCAGAGTAGTATAAATTTATTTCAGTATTTTTATGCTATTTTGTATATCTTTTATTAGGTCTATGTGTCAGGATCGCTCAGTTTTGTTGTTCACCACGTACCTTATGCATGAAAATATACAATTTCAAAATAGACAATTTCGATATTATAAGACTCATAATTTTTACAATTGTGAACATTTCTGAATAAATATTACGGTATGCAAAATCAAATCGGATGCTCAATTCTTTTCATATGAGATTTAGAAGATGTGGTATAGATACCAAAAGGAATGGGCCCATTTTCGGATCGATTTCGCTTTATATTCTATTAAAATCGGTAGTGTTGGCGCGTTTGTAGTTTTTACAAAAAACAACTATTTGTCCGCAAATACCATGTTAACCATGAAATATGGCACCATATTTGCATAATATTATAAATTGGGGTGGCACCAGAAAGAGTGGACCGATAGTCCGTATATTTGACATGAAATATTACTATGTGGAAAGTTTGGATCAAATCGATTACTCCTTTCGAGACTATCTAGAATTAAACTGATGTTTCTAAATCGACTTCAATACACTAGACTTGACTAATCCCGTTCCTTCTTTTAGTTTCATACTTCCATTTAGTTTTATCGGTCATTAGTACACGTCAGTTAATTCGGTCAATGAATGGGTGAAAAATTGGATCAAAAGGAACAAGGTGAACGAGATCAAAAAGGGACTAAATGAACGAAATATCCGGACCGATTGTTCTTTTTGCGAAACAGTTCATTTGAACTAGTTCGTTCCGCAACGACCCAACTCAACTGAATAACACGAACCAGTAATGACAAGATGTGGTACCACACCGAGGAAAATAACAGCATTAAATAACAAGGACTCCTTGCTCCTGCTTTGTTTTTAGACCGCTATAGATGGCGCATCGACCTAAAGTTTTTGGTCTAATTCAACCCCGCAATGTCATTTGATGTCATTTCTAACAATACGTATACCCCCTTTAATGTCTACGTATAACTCCCCTATCCGAGAACGTACATCAATATAATTGGTATCAATTGAAAAGTTTACCTTTTGAATACACTATCAACTTTTCGGGTCCATGTCCTTCAGGAGTAAATATATACTCCACAGAATACAAATTTTGTTCTTTTGCATACAAAAGTTTGAGTGCGTTTGACCCGCGAAATATTGACCAATCTTTGTCAAAACAGTCATGCATATTCTATGGTCAGATCCCTTGTCTGTGTATTTCGTAGTGTTTGGGTTATAATTGTGGGCTCTAGAACGTCCAGAAAAAACAGAAAAGATAAAATTCTTGGTCCATTTCATCTCCTAAATATTAACGGATCATTACTAAAATTAATAGGGATCTTCTTTGGCTAGAACCCATCCTACATGCAAAATGTCGTGACGATTGATCCAAAACTGTTGCCTGTATCATGTTCACAAGTTATAATGGGCAGACGGACGGACGGACACACATGTCTAGATCGATTCAGCTAGTCGAGATATGATCGGTATACTACAAGGTTGGTCTAGGACCAATGTTTTGCGGCGTTACAAATTCTTAGGGCTACACAAGGCTATAATACAACAACATAGTTGTGTAGGGTATAATAATGGTAAGTGGTAAGTGTGCGAATAGATACGCTTCAGTTCCATAAACAATAGTACCTTATTGTGTGAACTAGGCCATATTTTTAAATATACGTTCTATTAGGTATATATTTGATTTTTGTAATTATGATCGGCAATGTTACCAGTGTATGAAAGGGGGAATATGGAGACATACTTAGGAACATAAAGGGGTTTACATATTATATATGGTTTAATGAATAATACTAAATTTTGACCAACCTCCGGATTTTGTAAAAGTTCAGTATTAGTTGTGTGCGATATCACATGATTAACCCGTTTGACTTCTTTGCTATGTTTTTAATTTGTCCAAAAAGGTATTTATAAATTCGGTAATATCGTCTCACATTTTTCGATCAGTCCAAAAGGACGGAGTAAATATTAAAAACCAGACCTATCCGTCAATCCGCAGTTTTAGAAAATGAAAATGAGTGGGAAATGGTTAAGTAACTTCCTGGCAATGGCCCTGAACAATCTGGTGGAACTTCACGTCCCAGCCTGTATCTAGAAGTAATCAAACGGTTGAGATCTTTTTATCTTTCTAGACATCATTAATATACCATAGAAGATAAAACGGATGACATATTGATTTTGGGGAATTTTGAAAGTGTTAGTCGAATTTTCCAATTAAAATGTATGTAATTTAACATTTCGAAAAATGATAGGGTAAAAGTCCTCCGTACAGAAAATGTTTAATATAGGTCATTACAGAATTTGAAGAAATGTCACTATTGACATTTTTTGGTTCTTCGTGGTGTAAAAAGTTTGGCCTAGCTGAATTTCCACTTATTAACGACTTTACAAGGTTTTTTTTTTCATTTTACTAAGAAATGTGCTTACCTTAAATGTTGGTACAAATTTATCTTTCACCTCCTGGACAGCTTGCTCTTTTGATTTACCTTCCAGTAAAGACATGCCAGCAAAGAAGCTGGCGCAAGCAAATGGTCCATAGGATAATTGTTCGATGGCAGCCTAAAAACAAGAATGACAATTTAAACAATTCTATATAAATACTATTCATTTAAAATACTCACCTTAATAAGTCCTACGCGTAATGTCATTTGTGGCCACATGGCCGATGTCAATTTTACCCACCCATATAATGTGGGTGCAACATACAGTCCACCAAATATGCCAAATCTTAAGGCACGCATATAATCATAGGTTTCTATTGAGGGTGGCGGGGTGAAAAATATTGGTTTATTTTATAATTTTATAAAGTTTATTGTATACTTACTTATATTTTTACCCTCTATTGTTTGTTGTATTAAACTACTTGTGGGCCATAGAACGGCATACGATAACGCCCCTCTCAGCAATGGATGAGCCGATGTAAAGGCTTTCCATTGGGTTCTTAAAACATGTATACTTAAAGGCATCCTTGGCTAATTGTGGGGCTGTAACAAATTTTTATTTTCTTTTGTGATTTTCAATTTCGATTTTCACTTAAACTGAACAAATGCAATTTTTTTGAATAAATAAAATCACTTTCGAACCAAATACAAAAGGTGTTCCATAATAAATTTGTTTGATGATTTATTAGCAGATGATATTGTTTTAAAATCCAATTAATAATTAATTTTTTTAACACAAAACCAAGTCATAATATTATACGCTAGTAAATCAAATGTTGTACCAAAAGCCCGAGAAGAAGAACCAAATTCTGTAACAAAAATCCTGAGAAGAAGGACACATTCCACAAAGTCAGAGCCACCCCAAAGTTATGTTTATTAAAATGTCGATCGATATGTAACATTTTTTTAATTGATTTAAAAATTCGAAGGTCTTCGTAGAATGAGGAAACCCAAAACATATGTTTGTACCTCCAATCACAATTTGATCGGTTGTATTAGACAAAAAGACGCCACCACCATTAGATCTAGTATTGATTGCATGACACAACACAATAGGCACAAATATTTTGATACTTCGCCAATTGATAGCGTGTACAGAGAACTATTTTTAGATTTTATATTAAAAAAAAACAACAACAAAGTTGACCGACCGAAACAATTTTTTTTCTCAAACTGATTCAAGTTCAAGGTCGCCATTTTCGTTGCAAAAATCAGGTCAATGTTTGAGGCAATAAACTTTTCAATTCTATTTTTTTTTCTTTACATAATACTTGCTTTTTACAGAAAGAACCCAAAACGTCTCAAACGTCTCACAAATAGATTTCCGTATACAGTTTTGTATTTTTTTTTTGTTCACTTCACTTCTCTAAATTTGAAATTGTATTGAAATTTTTGGCTATGATTTTCCCACGATCTAAATGCTAGAAAAGTTGAGCGTACACTAAATTGTAATTTGTGTACAAAAGTTCTAATTCTCTGTAAAATATATTTTTTTATATATTTGTACAGATGCAATTGTTGCAGGCGATCGGCGGTTGTGGCGTAATAATCTTGCAACGTCATTAGTTGCAATGTATTTTTGAAAAAAAAAAAAAAAATGTAAATAAAACAGAGAAACAGTTGTGGGATTTACATACATAGATACAAGCTGGCATATGTAAATGGCTATCGCGATCACTTAGTCATTATTTGGGGTGCCGGTTGGGTAATTTATATCTTTGTCTAGAGATACCGAATAATTTTGTAAAGAATTAGAAATTCACTGATTAGACCCTATTAAGTCTGTTACCATAGATTTTGTAAAGAATATTTTTTAAGGATTATTAAAATTAATTTTCTTTAAAGAATATTTTTTCAAGGACCATATAAGGCGTGGATTTATTAAAAATATTTTTTCAAGGACCTATACAAGGAGTGGATTTTTTAAAGGTTATTTTTTCAAGGACCAACACAATATGTGGATGATGTAATCTCAATTGTAGACACTGACCCCGCGGTGTCACCTGAGGTAACTATTTTCATCATCCATTGAAAAATAGTGATATGTGCCGAGGTTTCACCTATAAGAACTATAAAAAAATAGGAGAATAAAAGACCTCGTCTCCAGATTCACTCCAGTCATTGAGCGAATTACTATAATCTGTATAAAAGCGAAGTTCTTCTACATTAGTCTTGTTTGGAAGAAGGAAGACAAAGATGAAAATACCAAAGACATATTTTACGAGCACATATGACCGCTGCCCTGGCCATGACATTAAAATTCTGCTAGGAGATTTTAATGCAATAATCGGAAGGGAAAATATTTCAGTCTCCATGAAGAAACGTCATACAACGGCATGAGGTTGGTTGACTTCGCGGCAGCATAAAACATGGTAGTTAGCAGCACCAGATTCAAACATCTCGATATACACAAGGCCATCTGGATTTCTCCCGATCAAGCAACGAGAAATCAAATTGATCATGTTGTGATAGACAGAAGACATTCATCCAGTGTATTAGACGCTCGATCGAATATCGATTCGGACCGCTACCTTTTAGCATCCAAGGTTCGCACACGTCTTAATGTAGCAGCAAAGTTCTAACACAACACGGAAACTTGACGTCGAAAAGCTGCAAATAAAAAGGCAGCAGAGGTCTACTCCGCTCAACTTACCTACCTGCTTGACGAAAGCACTTCTTGTCCCGATAATAATATAGACGCACAATGACAACGAATTTCGCACCCCCTACAAACTGCAGCAAAAGCAACACTTGGGCACCAAAAAACATCATCAAGAAATCCGTGGTACGATCAGGAGTGTCGTAATGCTACTGATGTGAAAAATGCAGCGTATAGGGCAACCCTGCAGACAGTAGCAACACGTAATGGGATGGAGAATTATCGGGAGAAAAGCAGAGAGTAACATATTTTCAGAAAAAAGAACAAGAAAAACGTGAGCGTGAGCAAATCTAGATGTACAGGAGTCAGAATGAAGTCCGGAAATTTTACCAACGAGTAAAACACCAAACCAAATGCCTTGGTGCAGACACATCCTCCTGTAGAGATGAATATGAAAATCTGGTTACAGACAGCGTGTTGAGGATCTGGAAAGAGCATTTTGAAAAGCCTCTGGTATAAAAAAGTGGCGGTGAAGAAGATACCCCAGAACCAATATGAGATGACGGTATACAGGGTATACGACCTAGCCAAGATGAGGTCAGAATAGCATCATAATATCATTAATCGGCTGAAGAACAATAAAGCAGCAGGTGCTGATGGATTACAAGCCGAACTATTCAAGACCGGTGGTCAGATGCTGGTCATGAGCATGCACCAGCTGTACATTTCTACAATTTGAACCTCAGCATTCTCTGTGTCCCGTGCACAAAAATGAAGACAAGATATGTGCCAACTATAGAGGAATAAGTATCCTTCCCATTGCATATAAAGTGCTATCCAGCGTGCTTTGTGAACGTCTGAAGCCAATGGTCAATGACATTATTGGGCCATACCAATGCGGCTTCAGGCCTGGCAAATCCACTATTGACCAGATTTTCACACTGCGCTAGTTCCTGGGGAAAAAACCCACGAAAAACACATCGACACATTCCACCTATTCGTCGACTATAAAGCGGCATTCGATAGCCCTATCCGTTCGGAGGTGTTTAAAGCCATATCTGCGTTCGGTATTCCTGCAAAATTAATACGACAATGCGTAATAACATTATTTAGCACAAGGTCAGCAATTAATGTCGGAAATGACCCATCGGAGCCCTTTAATACCGAACGAGGATTCCGACAAGGTGACAGTATGTTGTGTGATCTTTTCAACATCCTGTTGGAAAAGGTCATACGAGAGGCAAAGGTGAACAGAAATGGCACTCTGTACACCAAACAACATATGTTACTCGCCTACGTCGAACATTGCGAGCGGTAAACAGCCACCTTTGAACGAATTGAGAAGAAGTCAGCCAATGTGGGACTGGCGGTAAAAATTTAAGATTTTTGGGTTAATAAAAAAATTGCCAAATTAGTTCATAAAATAATTAAAATTGCCCATCTAAATCTATTCTTATCCAAAATATCGATAAACATACAGTAAAACATGTACTTTTATTTTCTGCGCGTTAGATTTGCATTTTTTCCCACTGTGCCACTGTGGAACTTGAAAACTACATCTTCGAGTTAGTGAACGATTTTATATACCTCGGTACCGCCATCATAAACAATACGTAGAGGATAGTGTTGGCCAACAGATGCTACTATGGTCTGAGTAAACAACTCAAATGCAAGGCCACCTCTCGCCAGACAAAACTCACACTCTACAAAACGCTGATATTACCAATGCTGTTGTATGGATCTGAAGCATGAGTACTTGCGAAAGCAGATGAGGTAGCTCATGAAGTGTTTGAGAGAAAAATTCTCCGGAAGATCTATTCTCTGACATCGACATAGTCAGACGGATCGATCTGCAGTGTCCACGTTGGCTAGGGCATCTTGTGAGAATGGATGAAGATGCCCCAGCACAAAGGCTTAAAAAACAAGCCAAGTGATAGTTCACACGGAAGAGGAAGGCCACGACTCCGATGGCAAAATCAAGTAGAAGACAACATCCCGGAAAATGGTCTTTCAAATTGGATGAGATGCGCACAAGACCGACGCGTCTGGAAATCTTTTTTAAGCTCGGCTTATGGATCAACCGTTCTATCATATGCCGTGGATGAGCTTGGATTTTTTAAATAATATTTTTTTTTCAAGGAATGAGTGGATTTATTAAAGAATATCTTTTTAGGAACGACATAAGTAACGGATTTGTTAAAGAATATTTTTCATGGATCATATTTTCAATGGTTAAGCAAAAAATCTTATAAAGAGGCTTACATTTATTTTAAATTTACATTAATATTTTAACAATCCACTTTATCTCGTCTAAAGAGTATTAGATTATATTTAAGTGCCTATTAGCAATGGGAAAGTTTTTTATTTCGACTTTCAACACATTCGTCAGGTACTATTTATTTTTATTTGAACTTAATGACCGATAAAGTCGTAAAGACCTAAAAAAAATTATTAAACACCTACAAAATATAAAAATATTTACGAATTTACTTCCTATTTTATTATCTCATTTTGAATTTAGTATAAAAGTTTAAAATTTATCTCTAGACGTAATTCACATACACATATATATGTACCCAAATGACTAGTGAAATTTTGCAAATGTTGTCTTTTATTATCTCGTGAGATAAGACGTCATAAACAAAAAACTGTCTGCATTATATTAGATATTTTGGCACACCGTCAAGTGTTTCGTCAAAAATATGCAAATTGTTGGCAAAAAATACACTTTTTGTGTATGAATAACTGAAAACAATAGTATGGCAACTCTTTCCCAGGAAGTGCAATATTGACCTTGAATATGTGTAATGCTCGCAACGGAAGTATTATTTCTGGTTAGTGTATGTGTTGATCTGTAGGTGCATTGTTTTAGTTATTCGTGTTTATTTTGCGTCCACCTTCCATTCATACAAATTTTGGTGTTGCTA